TCGGGAGGGGACAGCAGGGAGCTGAGTGGGGCTGGCTCAGGCTGGAAGTGAGGGCAGGAATGCCAGGGATGTGCTGGGGCAGGAGGAGGGAGAGTGGTAGAGGCTGGGATGGGATCTGTGGGCACGAGGGGGTGCGTGGGATGGAATGCCCGGGGACAGTGGGATGTCCTGGACCCTTCTCTGCAACAACAGCTCTGCCACCAACACACAGGAGGATCTGTGACTCACAAACACAGCAGTGCAGGGACCCCCTTCCCCAAATCCTAGGCTGGGAGACCCTCAAAGCTCAGCCAGCACCTGCCACCACCTATCCCCAGGCAGGGGGAGGTGCCAGGGAGGGGGGACAGCAGCAGCAGCAACGTGCCACATCCCTGCGTGTCCCTGGGAATCCAGCACAGCCCTTCCCACCATCCCATCCCCTCCACCCCCTGCCAGCTGCAGCCCCCCCTCTGGGGCCAAGGGATGGAGGAGGGCTGGCTCTGAGCCCCCAGCAGCAGAGCCTGGCAGCTGGACACAGCCAGGGACCCCAAAGGGTCATGAAAGTTTGATTTTGGGGGGTGGGAGGCCGAGCCTGCAGCCACAGGAGGCCCCAGGGGACACAGGAGGCTGCGGTGGCCTCGAGGAAGCCCCCGGCACCTGCCTGCTGGGATCAGCCTCCCCGCAGGGCTCTGCCCCTGACAAGCCATCCCCAGCTGCCTCTGCCTCATGCCCCACTTGGTAGCGGGGTCAGGCAGCTGGGGCTGGGAAGAGGAGGGGGATTTAACCCATAACACATTCCCACAGCCCAGGGAGAGCCGGGAAGATGCTCCCGGTGCAACCAAAGCACTCCCAGTGTTGGGTGGAAAAATATGTGATCAGAGAAAACACATCCCCGTGGCTGCAACCCCCCGGCTGCTGCTGAGGAGGAACCTTGCGGGGTGGGGGACCCCTAAACCTCGTGCAAGTTTCATTTCTAAGTCACAAAAAAACGGTAAAAAATATAAAACCCGAGGATTTTGTGCCTTTCCCCCACTCCCAGCCCCAGGAATGCCCCCGGGAGCCACGTGGCTGTGAGAACCCAGACAGCTGAACATCCAGGGAGCTGCTGCTCACACCCCCCACACCCGTTTTTTTTTTACGCTTCAAACACTCCAAGAACGAAAAACTCGGGACAAGTGCCCACATTCCGCCTTTCCCGACTCCCAGGGAGCCCCTGGATTGTCCACGGGGAGAGCAAAACCCACCCGGGGGACAACAACGCCAAGGTCACCCCGCAGCACGGGCGACCTTGAAGCGTTGCCACAGCATCCCTGGGCGAGGAGGAGGAGGAGGAGGAGGAGGAGGAGGAGGAGGAGGAGGAGGAGGAGGAAGAGGAGGAGAAGGAGGGGAGGGAGGCAGGGGCGCTGCGGGGACATGCGTAGTTCACCCCGCACACAATGGCCCGACTGTTCGCGAGGTGCTGGCAGGAGCCAGCGGGCAGGGACAGCCCCTGGGAGCTGCCAGGAGGCTCCCGACAGCAGCACCGCACCCTCTCTGTGCAGCCCGGGAGAGGTGGGCACGGAGATCCCGGTGCAATAAAAGCAAAAAAGCAGGAATTCTTCCCCCCCGTTCCTCCCTGCAGCCCGAGGGGCAGCGCAGAGGGTGGGGACAGGGATGCCCCTTCCCCTCCCGGACACCTCCAGCCGAGCCAAACAACTTTGTTTCCTGCCCCAGAGATCCCCCAAGGCGGAACGCGAGCTCGCCGGGCTCGTTCCTCCTCCCTCTCCATCAATCCTGAGAAGTGCTGGCGCAGCATCTCCCGTCCCGAAATTCCCGAGATTCCCAGGCGCCCGCCAGCGTGGGATCAGGTGGGATTTCTGGGGGATGAGGGGCTTGGGAGAGGGGAGAGGTGCTGGGCATCAGCCAGGTGGAGGGGAGTGAAGGGGACACGGTGTGATGGGAAGGGTGGCAGGTCCCAGAGCTCGGCAGGAGCTGGGAGGGACAAGCTCAACTCCACAGCTCGAGGAGGAGGAGGAAGGAGAGGAGGAGGAAGAGGCTGGAAACCAGAGCAACCCTCGTATCTCTGCCTGGGAGCAGCCACCAGGATGGAGCTCCACAGGTAGGCTTCCCACCCCACCCAAAACACGCTTTTTTCTGTCCTTTTCCCAGAATTCAGGTCTGTGCTGCAATGGAATAACTCCAAAGCAGCAGGATTGGACTGTGGGGTGTGCCCTGAGAATGAGGGCAGGCCACAGACTCATCCTGCTCAGAGACCAGGTTTGTATCTGCACAACTCAGCCCAAAACCATAAATCCTTCTCACGAGCTTGAACCACTGCTGAGCTGGGAACAAACTCCTTTGGCCTGGGAATCCTCCACAAACTTCTTTGGCCTGGGAATCCTCCACAAACTTCTTTGGCCTGGGAATCCTCAACAAATTCCTTTGGCCCAGAAATCCTCAACAAACTCCTTTGGCTCAGGAATCCTCCACAAACTCCTTTGGCCCAGGAATCCTCCACAAACTCCTTTGGCCTGGGAATCCTCCACAAAAAAAGACACCCCCAGCTCCCACCTCCCTCCACGGGCACAGCAATGGGACGAGGGTGGCCGAGCACGTGCATTTCAAACAGAAGCATGAAAAATCAGAAATACTGACCTTAAAGCTCCAGTAGTTGGGTTGCTAACAAACAAAAAACAAAACAAAACAAAAAAAATAAAACAACAGAACGAAAGAAAACACACACACACACACACACAAAAAAAATACCATTAAGATTCTGCTTTGACTTTCGTTTTCCCTCTGAGAACCGCTGAGTTTAAAACTGCCACGGTTAAAACAACCTGCTCTGGTTTCTGTCCCTCCCGAGGGGTTGGCGGAGGGTTCATGCTGAGGGGGGAGCAGGATCATGCAGGCAGGGAGGGGTGGGGGGTTCCTGGGGGTCAGTGCAGGCTGGGGTGCAGAGCAACCCCGGCAGAGCGAAGCGGGGAGCGGGACGACAGCCCAGCATCGCTGCTGGAGCCACTGCTGTGCCCACACCACCATCCTGGCACGTGCTGGTCGGGCTGCTGCAGTGCTGGAAGTCAGGATAATGTTCATTTTGAAAGGGATCTTCCAATCCCTCCCCCCTCCACCACCACCCTTTGCTCCCCCCGTGGTGTTTTCACCGGTGTCAGACCGATGTGCTGCCGCCGGTGACGGGAGCTGGCACCGCTCACAGCCCAGTGAGCTGGAGAGCTGGCAGCTCCCCTCTCCACAGCCACCCACTGGGCATCACCACTGGGACTCTCTGGGGATGCTCTGCTTCCTGTGACACCCACAGAGACTCGGGACCCCCTCCCAGGGCAGCCCCGGGAGGGCACAGCCAGGCTGGGGCTGCAGGAGCCCAGCAAGGCACAGAATTGTGGGATGGGTTGGGTTGGGAGGGATCTTAAAGCTCTTAAAGCTCATCCAGTCCCACCCCCCTGCCATGGGCAGGGACACCTTCCACCATCCCAGGTTGCTCCAAGCCCTGTCCCATCTCCAGCAGGAGGGAAGGGGGATCCAGTGACCAGGGGTGGGATCCACCTCACTGGGAAGGGGATGTGCAGCTGATGGGTGGGGTGGGAGAAACAGGTACAGGGCAGCTTTTGTCCCAACAGTCTTTCATTGGGATCCAAGTTCTTGCCTGCTCTGTTCTCCCCTCTCACCCCCACCCCAGTTTCTAGACAGCATTTCTCTCTCCACCACAATCACTGTGCCTGCAAACCTGCTCCTCAGAGGATGATTTCTTTAATTGTTATTTTAAATCTAAACCAGGCTCCTGCACCAAGCTCCCAGTCCCCACCAGTCCCCCCCAGTCCCTGCAATGTGCTGCCAAGGAGTCTCCCACCACAACGCTCAGGGAGAAGCTGCAGTGACATCAGACCATCACAGGGTATTTATCCAAGGACTTTCCCAACCCACTGGCAGATTTGCTGCCTCCTTCCCTTCACTTGCTGCTGATTTCCCCCTTCTGCTGACAAGGTAAGCGGAGGCCCAGTCGATGTGTATAAACACAAATTCACTTGTTAGACTCATCCCAACCCTCAGCAGGACGCTCTGATTCCAATTCAAGGCTCTGCTGGCATTAACATTCCACACAACATCTGCAGTCCCAACCCAAGTTCAGCCTCCACCAAACCAAAACTGCTCTGAAAAGTGATCTGAGCCCAACGAGTGCAGCGTTCTCAGGCAGACAAGCCTCGAGGCACAAAGGTCTTTTCCAAGGGCACACCGTGACTCAGAGGCAGGACCAGGAATAGAACTTCCGAGCCCTGATTACCAGGCACTATTAGATAACAACCAGCAGGATCCCAGCCTATCCCTGGGCACGCCAAGCTTTTCCAAAACACTCCCTGGAAAGCGAGAAACAGCCTCAGAGTGGATTTTGGGAGTAACAAAGACACCCACTGCACAGAGCCACTGACACCAGCAGCTCCACGGCCTCAGCTCCAGGGGGAGGGTGCTGGGAACAGGGAAAGGGGTGCTGTGTGCAGGGAAAGGGGTGCTGGGTACAGGGAAAGGGGTGTTTGGTGAAGGGAAAGGGTGCTGGGTGAAGGGAAGGGGGTGCTGGGTATGGGGAAAGGGGTGCTGGATGCAGGGAAAGGGGTGCTGGGTGCAGGAAAAGGGGTGCTGGGTGAAGGGAAAGGGGTACTGGGTGAAGGGAAAGAGGTGCTGGGTACAGGGAAAGGGGTATTTGGTGAAGGTAAAGGGTGTTGGGTGAAGGGAAAGGGGTGCTGGGTACAAGGAAAGGGGTGCTGGGTGCATGGCAAGCGACTCTGGGCACAAGGCAGGCTGGCAGCACCAGTGCCCACCCAGCAACGCACGGGGGCAAAGCCCAAAATCCAGCACTGCCACGTGCCAGCCCAAAGCACCAACCCTGGGCACCTCCCGCTCAGCTGGAGCTGTCTGGGTGCTGAGCAGGATTGCATCAGCCCCTGAAGGCTCTGACATTCACTGGGAATGTCTCCAGGGAAGCTGCACAAGGCAGTTCTGTAACTCTGCTCCTGCTCATCAGCCTCACCCCGACTCCCCACCCCAGGCTGGGATATTGTCGCCTCCCAGGAAAGTCTGAGGGAGCCGAGACAAACCACACCTGATTTCCAACGGGCAGGAGCAAACCCTCCACCCCCTTCCCTTCAGCAGCCTCCAGCAGCTGGCTCTCCCCTCCTCCCTGCACCAGTACACCCAGGACCTGCTCCCCAAATTCTGCCTTCACACCTGGGGGGTGCTCAGGTGCCCACCCCCTCTCAACTCCTCCGTGCTCTGAATGGCTGCAACGGGCCCTTCCCACAGATCAGATGTTTCAGCATCACTGGGAAGAGCTGTGGTCAAACCAGTTTGGCCCAGTCCCCAAAAGGACCCCAACCCAGTCTGTGGCAGGAGATGACGCCCCTGACTTTTTCCTCTCTGCAACTTTTCTTTTTCCTCTCCCTGCTCTTCGTTTTGCTCTTGAAGAGCCTCAGTAATTTTCCTCAGCCCTGATATTACTGATCCTATCTCCTGCCAGCCCCGGGTGTGTATTTTATTTATTATTTTAGGATGACTGGACAAGCTTATCACAAAGCCCATAAATTACACCCCCACCGCACACAACCAGTTCCCCATCACATCACGAGCTTGTCTGAACCCCAAGTGCCATGGGAGGGGATCCAGAATGTTCTGGAAGCGATTCGGGCTGGAGAGCGTGACCCAGAGCAGCCCCCCTCTCCCAGGTCCCTGGATCCAGCCCTGGAAAAGCCCTTTCTCTGGGACCCCTGAGCAGCAGTGGGGGGACAGGGACACGCTGCCTGCCCTGCCCGTGCCCTGCTGGGTGGCAGGGCCGTGCAGGGCTGACAATCTGGCGCTGTCTGCCAGCGCCAAGCGGGCCCTGGACACCACCACGCAGACCTTTGTGGGCTCCATCTGTCCCCACAGGCACTGCTGCCACTCGGGCACACTGCCCAGCTCAGCCTCCACCCATCCCAAACCCCCCAGAGCAACGAGGTTGGACCCCCAGCACCCCCAGCACCCCCAGCACGGGTGTCCCGCTCCGGGCATGGACACCAAGACAGCACAGGAATGGTCTTAAATGAAGCCACATCCCAAAATCCAGGGGCAGAGCAGGGACAGCCACCCCCCCCAGCACAGTGCCCAGCCCCCCCCCCCCCCCCCCCCCCCCCAGGCAGCCAGCCAGGCTGGCAAGGGTTGGATTTGTACAAAGAGAAAGGCAAGAGGAGAGGGCCAAGGTAGAATTAACATATCGCTGGCTCTTCAAAAGCATCAAAGGGAGATAATGGTCCGAGGGAGGATTTGAAGCGACAGCCTTGTTACAAGCAATAAAGCAGGAGGCTCCTTGCAGCAGGGCTCTGCAGAAGGTAGGGAGAATTACAAAGGCTGAGATTATAATTACAATGAAAGTCATGTCCATGATGCTGCAAAAATGATGGACTAAACAGGACCAGGCCCCCCCTCCCAGAGCACAGACGTGTGTGCACAGGAGCTGGAACACACGTGTAAGAGCAAGGAGGGGGTGGAGATGCTGCCCTGAACCCACAGAGGGATGGTTGGAGGGGTGAACACACACACACACAGAGGCTGCAGAGAGGAAAAGCAGAGCTGGAGGGATGTGATCAAGGACACACCGGAGTTAAGTTCAAAATAAACCAGTCTTTGTGGTTGTCCCAGGAGGAGACAGGAGGTAAATGAAATCCAAGCAGGTCACTGCCCTGACCAAGGTGGATTTCCCTTGGTTAGCAAATAAAACACAAACCTGTTAGTGATTAACAAGGCAGGACCAAGTGTCCCTCTAAAATGGGCAGCAGCAGCAGCCCCAGCTCTCCCACAAGGGAGGACAGAGGCAGCTTCATCGGCTTTTTAATTAACTCATTTCCAGGAGTTCCAGTTCCTGATTGAGTCCCCCCCTCAGGCACGACATCTTGACAAACAAAAATCTCCTTGAAAAATAACTGCGAAGCGAGTTTAATCTGTTTCTCCTTATTAAAGTTTTTTTTTTTTTAATGCTTTTCAGCACAAGAGAAACTGAATTAAAGTGGAAATGGCCAAGTGACAAGAGAGAGTTGAATGCAAACAGTGACCAGGCAGAGCGGGGAGCAAGTGCTGCAGATATTGTCACCTGGGGTCTCACAATCATTGCAAGGATCTCTCAAACCTGAGCAGCAGAGAGGCCAGCGGAGACAAGACAGGATGCAGGAGGGCTGGGGCTCGTTCCCATCACACCTGGGCTCCTAAGGAGGCTCGGTGGGTCACCCAAACCAGAGCCCTCCATGAGAAGGGCACCAAGGCGCTCGTTTTGCTGCTCCCCTTTCAGGCACCGGCACCTTTAGGCAGAGCCTTGGGGTTTGCTACCCCAAGCCCACAAAGGCTCTGATGGCCACCACAGTGTCACCAGAGATGCCACAGCCAGTGTCACAGTGACTCAACGGGACCCTTGTCCCACCTGCACGGCTCAAACTTTCCCTCCAGGACCCTCCAGCTGCCCACTCACCCTCCTCCTCCTCCTCCAAGAGCAGCAGCTCTTCAGCACTAATTACAGCCTTGACCTAGAGCGTGGTGTCTCTGGGGCAGCCCAGGTGACACCAGAGCCCAAACACCTCTGGCCATCAGTGGATTTGCATCCCCTGCTGTCCCTCAAGCCCCCTCCTTTCCTGATAAGCAGATCT